GTGCTTTGCCTTTTACCTGAGACAGCTCTGTGTTGTCCCTTGTTATCATGCCCACTTGCAAGAGTAGAATAAAAACACAGAAAAGCCACTTTCTCTTTTTGTTTTATTATAGAATTTTCACCAGAGCTATATTTTCACTGGTTTGTCAGCTAAATATACTTTTATGGCAGTTGTGAAAAAAGAAAGAAAAAGAATTGCAGACCTTTTATTCTTCACATATTTAGTACCCCAGGTGGCAGAGGTGAATGCTGACACCACAGAATATAAACTAAGTAAATAAATAAATTCTCCCCAAGGGCGACTTTCCCCTCAATATTTTTTAATTTGCTTTCTGAGATTTGAAGCATGTCGCCTGGCTTATTGTTCCCTGGAGTCGGATGAATAATGTCAGCAATATTCAGCTTCCATATCTGGGAGAATCATAACAAGAAAGCAGACACAAGTCTCAAGAGAAAGTATTCCTCTATAGAGTATGCCAACAACAACAACAAGTTCTGTCGTTGTGGAAAATAATGTGATGACAATAAAACCAAAATTATGCAAAATAAAAACTTCACTTTGGGATTTAAATTACAAAAATTTAGTTTTGCGGGTATTTGGGCATAAATCAAGGTATTGCAAGATTCCTCCTCTGGGCAAAATGAATATCTGCACAAAAATTAATGGTAATCCTTCCAATAGTTGTTAAGATTTTTTACCACCCTCCCCCAGACTACCATAGATAAAAATGCTGAAGATTGGAGTGCCAATCAAACCGTAACCTCATATAGTTCATTACATTTACATTTACTCATTTGGTAGATGCTTATATCCAAAGCTACTTATATTTAAGGAATAACATACAAGCATCAACAAAGCATCAATACAGCAAGAGATCTACAAGTGACAATAGATACTAGTAAGAGCAGTGATAAATACTAGTAAGAGCAGTGATAAATACTAGTAAGAGCAGTGATAAATACTAGTAAGAGCAGTGATAAATACTAGTTCAAGCAGCTTAGTCACAGGTGTGTGACTGTGTCACAGCAAAGAGGACAGACTGTTTCAGGAAAGTGATTGCCGGTGGGTCACGTCTCTCATGCACAAGTGCCAAATTTAGCAAGCCCCCACCCGCACCACCCGCTACTGAAATTACACCAGCCCACCGACAAAAAGATTGTTATTCTCATTCAACCCGTAAGCCCTTCTCTCTTTTTTAATAATGATTTGGATGATGTTGAAATTGTAGCCTGCAAGTGCAAACAAAAACTAATGAATGTTACTATTTGTGCTCACAACAGAAACTGAGAACAACCAAGTCTTTCCAATCTGTTTTAAATACATCACTGTACTTTCACATCCAGTCTTGAGCGACTATTATTTACTGTCAGCCATTTCCATAATATTCAGTAATAACCTTGTGCCTGTGTGAGAGATGGGGATTTTATTTTTACATCAGGACCAGCCACATTACCATCATCTGCATCACATACCAGATGTCCTCTGACCGTAAGATACAGCATAGGAGGAGACCGCCTAAAGGAACAAATCCACCTAAAGGCAGATGCAGACATTGGAGAACTTGAGGGGGTCGGACCTCTCAGAGTGCTTAGTGAGGGTCAGGTTGAGAGGAAGGCAGCCGGAATGGAATGTTTTTGTACGATAAAGGTGAACATGAGACGCTCCAAAGGGGTCTGCATGGGAGAGTTTGAATTGTAGGTTGATAGACAAGTGGTGCCAATGGGCAATGGGCAGTTTGAATTGTAGGTTGATAGACAAGTGGTGCCAATGGGCAATGGGCACCACTCCAAAAAAAACCAAAAATGATCATAAACATCAGGAACCCACAACTTAGGTTTTAGTTTCGGGTTGTCATCTTTAAGGTTGTGTCTGAGCTTGACCTTTTCCCCAAAGCAAAAAGCCCAGAAAGGTAAGAAACATGTAAGAAGAAACTGAAGCCAGAATTGCCCTTGGTGGCTGTTCCACCAGTGTACGAATGTGTGTGAATAGTGAATGCGATGTAGTGTAAAAAGCGCATTGAATGGCCACAAAGAATAGAAAGGCGCTATACTTTACATTTACATTACCTGTGAAAATGAGAATATGTGAGTAATATATGCATTGATTTTGACCATTGAATCTTTTTAGCCATGCATGGCTCTGTGGACAGAAAAGTCACCCACTCCATCACTTTGGTCCGAAATTTCTCAACAATTATTGGATGGATTACCATACAGTTTTGCAACAATGTTCATATTCCCCAGAGGACGAAACCTACTGACTTTTATTGTAGCTTATGATCATTACTTTTTTTTTTAAGCTGCACAATTATAATGCTTTTAATCAATTAAGTTTAAAAAAAACACACGCTACTCACTGTACAGTATACTGTCTTTATATCGCAATACAAGTTTGTTTGCTGTTATTCAAGTGGCGACAGAGGCACTTTGTGATGATTTAACATAAGATCCGCTGGTATTACAAAGTTCTTTAAACCTGTGCCAAGTGAGGACTTCCCCGTCAGTGTTAGTCTTTTCTTTCTTTCTTTACCATTCCAGCCACACCTTCACAGTGAAGGTCAGAGTTCATCGTTATGGTTACAGCTGTGTTTATAATTCATGCAGCTGTAATGTTGATGACCCCGTGGCTTAGGAGACACACTGAGTCAGGCCAACTCAGCTGTTAGTAACTCCGGCGGTCTGTGTTACAGATATTGACGCAAGCATTGTCACAGAATACACACGCGACAGCTTTTTGTTTGCGGTCTGCCCAGTTTTGACTGCATTATGTATAGCAGGACATCTGATAACCACCCAGATCACAGCCACTGGAAATGGCCTAAAATGGCACCGGACAGTCAAATAGCGAACCTGCGATCAGATACTGGAGAAGTCTGCAGACTTTTTCAAGCTGGCTTTGTTTCTCTTTTACAATATTTTTAGTTTGCTAGTATTCTTCCTTTTTGAACATGAGCTCACATTTTCTCCCTGAGCTCCTGACTGAGGCACACATGACTTAGCTTACAAAAATGGAAGAACAAGCAAACCGAAATAACTCGAATGAGCAGTTTGTGTGATTTTAGATCTCGACGTGAACAGATTTTCAGTGCAAAGACAATTACAAGAGTTAAAACCATGAACAATGAAAAATGTAGCCTTTTCATATGAATGATCTTTCATCAGTGTGTTTAGAGAGGAATATTACTGGGTTTTAACATTCATACACTGTAGCTTTTAATATCTTCAGGCGTACTATGACAACTATGTTATCACAAGCTCTACATTAGGAGATGTTAAGCCGTATTAGCGAACATCTCCTATTGTGTGCTGTATCACTTTATGTCTCTGTAAGCAGTGTTATCTACATATGGCTCCATATTTACAGATTAGAAGATGCATCAGAGACTCTCCCACTGTAAGAAGACATTATCTGACACCTTGTTCACATATATGAATATACAGTTACAAACTGTACAAAGAGGAAAGTGCTCAGGATTTTCTAGGAGGGATTTGAGCAGGGAGTGGAATTACTTTATCAAGCCCAGTGGAATATAAAAATGAATACAGATGCATGATGCAGTCGGTCAATTCTCAGATTGAAAGAAGAGAAAAAATTTGTTTTAGAAAATACAACTTGGAATTACTTTGACTTTGTAGTTTATCATCCTGAAGTCATGCAGTTTGTATATATATATATTTGGCTGTTCAATGTGAACATTTGACTATTTGTTTTCATGAGTCTGTATGTTTTAAATGTACATGTCACATTTTTATGCCTTTCGAGTCCTCTGTGCTGTGAAATCATCAGAAGTCTACACAGTCAGAGAAAATAAAAATGTGCGACCTGCTCATAGTTCAGTCATAAAATCCCAGTGTCTCTCCTGCTGGGCTGCTGACAGTTTGACTGATGACTGACAGTAATGGAAAGTCATCACTGGAGTAAAGAACTTCGGAGCAGCCAACAGACCGGAGTCACGCTCTCCTCTGTTTCTATCACCCTTCTCCGCTTCCATCGCAGGTAGTTTGGTGGTTTGTGGTCATTTATTTAGACTTGTGGTGACAATCAGTAGGAAGCTGCCCTGTGGTGCCTTACAAGTTCACCGTTACACGACTCAGCTTCCTCTCCAGCAAGTTTTTTGTCTTGACCTTTACTTTCTGTAAGCACGTATCCACATCTGTCAGATTGGCGTCCCTCCAGATCCTGGTGATGTCTAACTGGCAGATGCCTCAGAAGTCCCAGCTGTGATTGAGATTTCATTGTCTTTGCTTAACAGCAGCTGTCCTTCATCTCTGAAAACCAACAAACCTCTAGAGCAGACCACACAGTGACAGGACCCCTTATTTTCTAGCTGTTTATGTGGCACGCTGGCATTTATTCCTCATCCACCGGTTACATAGAAGGTTACTAATTGATTACAAGTTGAGAGAGGGGGAAAAAACAAAAACCCTAACATAATGCTTCAATGGGCTCATAAAGACTTTTAAGCTGAAGGTATAAAGGTCTTGGGGGAGATGAGGTGGGGACTGTAGGTTCAAGAGTTACATCTTGCTTTCCGGCCATCCAAGCATGAAATTGAATTTGTCAGTGGATAACTGCTGCCACCTAAAGGTCAGATGACTACCCATGTGTGCGTGTGGTATCTAACGGTATTTGCAGATTTTATAGATAGACAACTTGCAACAGTGTAAACCATTTCTTGACCGCAGTCATGATAAACACACACGTTCACTTCAGTTTCATTTAGAGGAGTACATTCGACCTGGAAGCACCTGGTGGATAAGTTTCCTCACGCTGCAAGACTACCACTGAAGCATGAAATTAAAATTATTGATGGATACATTCTGACACCAAGAGGTCAGAGAGCCACTGTCAACTGCATGTGTGCCTGTGGCCATTTAGTAGCTGTGCAGACTCGCATCTCTCTTCTGAAACGGTATGCATAATACTGTATGTCAGTAGATACATGTCCACACACACACACACATATATATAAATGTCTGAAAACATACACAGAACATTGCTCTGATTTTGCAGTTCAAAACTGTGATTTTATTGTTAAGATTTTAACTCTTGTGTAGCAGTAAGACTACACCTGGAGACAGTCCTCCATAGCTTGCAGTTCCTGTAGTTCATGACAGCGAGGGCCACAGTGAAGGCAGAGGAGATGTCTGACCTTGGGGATAACAGAGAGAGCTGGGTCTCGGGCACCACTGGGAGAAGGAGAGGAGAAAGACACAGAGCAGTTATTTCTACTAATAATGTCTGTCAAAAACACAAAAATAGTAGGACTACAGTCAGTATTAGCTGTACAGTGGCATACTTCACAGCAGACATTGAAAACAGCACGCCCTGAAAATTTTCCTCTCTGTCAGTACAACTTACTCACCCATTGAAGTGTAGCTGAACTAATTTAAAGAGCTGTCGACCCAATTCAATGCTGTCTTCTCCGTACTGGGAGCCAATAGCTACAGCGCTTCGCTCCAGATGGGAGGCTGCATTGTTCCAGTCCCCTGCAGGAACAGCAGAAAAGAAACAAAGCAGTAAGAGGACTGAAACATCTTGACAAGGTAGAGCTAAAGGTCAGCATGATTTATTTGACACCCCTTGGGGTGTGTGAGAATTCTGGTTTCTTGGCTTTAGCTATATATCTGAAGAAACATGTGGCCAATCATCACTGTGCCTTGTTAGTGCTTCAGAGCACCAGTATCCAATATGGTACATTGGTATGAATTAGTTCTTCTTTCATGCTTTAATGGTTTTCTCTACTGTTATTTTGAGTTGTGAAAATCTACAGAGTGCACTGGTGGGTTAGAACTAGACCTTTTCAGGTGGCAAACCTCCAGAACGTTAGCATTAACATGCTCAGCCAAACAGTAGGGATGTCCATAGTGCATCTTTATCAATTGTTTGAAACTTTCATTGACAGTAAAGTTGGTATTGCTAAAAATATTTGTAACAAAAGCTGAATATTGGAATACAAAGTTTTCTTAGTTTAAACTGTTGTAAATATGATCAAACTAATGTTATCCCTTTGTGCATTTGATGAAATGATTAAATGAGTGTGATTTTGTGGACGGGGAGACACACACACACACACACACACACACACACACACACACACACACACACACACACACACACACACACACACACACACCACACACACACACACACACACACACACACACACACACACACACACACACACACACACACACACACACACACAGTGAGGTAAGTAGGACATCACAAGAAGATAATCTATCACCCAAAAGAAACACAGTCATGCTGTTTTGTTGCACCACCACACACATGAGCAAGCCTGGATGCACTATATATGACTTTTCAATATTTTTATTGCACCGTTATTTCTATTTATTCCTCTAGATATGCAATCAAAACAAGGCTTTTATTTCACTTCAGCTGAGACAAATCTATGCAGAATGTTTGGTTGATTCTTCTACTATTAATAGACATGTAAAACTTCTGGGTGGGATTGTTTGTGTGGACCATTAACCCAGTTTTTATGAAAATATATGTTGATATCCTGCCAACAGAACTGAGCACAAACATGACCTCTCCAACTCTGCTAGTGAAGGTAAATCTACCTAAACAGACGGGCACTCGAATGCCGCATGAAACAGTAGGGGTGCATTAACCACATGGCTCATATGCAAATAATCAAGCTTTGTTATTCTCACCCATTGTAGCATATGCTCTCGCCGTGGCATCTGACAGCTCCCCCTGTAGTGGGTGTGTCCCTGCAAGGATCAGTCCAGACTGACACTGAGTCCTTCTCAACAGTCTCAGAGCCTCATCTAAGGGAGAGCAGAAGATTAACATGGAGATGTTACAGAGAGCTCCTGAACAAATGGCAATGAGACATTAATGTATCTGCATACTGTATCACAGCCACCTGGCCTCTCTCTCTCCATGAGGTCCACAGCCTTCTCCAGGTTGACCCTGATCTCCTGCAGCCTGTGGCTCACTTCAGCTGTAGACATAAGATGACCACAGGATGACTGTGAACATATAAATCCTGTTCCTCTGTCCTCACTGCTTTTCTGAAAATCATATAAAGGGTCTCAAATCATTAAGATGGAACAGTAGTATGGTAAATCTCAAAAAAGGAATTTATCAATAAGAAGTACAATTAATCATGAATAACTGTAAAAAGAACAACAATCCACAGAAACACTGAAGTACACCTACTTTGAGGGAGCCTTTGCACTTGCCACACAAAAGTCCAGACTCATGTAGTCTGCCTCCAGCATCTGACCAGTGCTGTCTACCTTCTGTACCCTCCTCCTGCTCCGGCTGCTGCAGAGTGCAGGCCTCGCACTGACACAGGAAATAATACTGTTCCTGCAGGAGATGCCGGCGTTCCTGGGTTGCCATCCTACTGCTATGAGGACCTGGGGGAGAAAGGTATAGGGGTTGATAATAGCACAACATCACAAGTTACTGTATAACGCACAAGATGAAAAGTAAGTAACAACACTGCAAACCGGAAGCAATGACACACTGATTTTAGTGTAGAGTTCTTTAATTGCTGCATATCAAAAAGTAATGATGTTTTAGTAATTATCATAGAAGCTGCCAGAGCATATTTATAAAATATAAACAAAGGTTATCAGTACATTTCACACAACCAGAGCTCTTAAATAGTTCATGCAATATAGATCATTTACTGGGATGCAACCTTTAAAGGTTCAGTGTGTAAGTTTTAGTGGCATCTAGTGGTGAGAGTAGTGAATTGCAACCAACTGCTCACTGTGCATTCACGCGCTCCTCGAATGGTCCCATTTCCCATTAATTCTATTGGCATTCCACATTCATTAATATAATATCAGCAGTGAAAAACCTAACTTTGTACCTTTTCTCCCTGAGGTTGTACATTATATCAATTTAATTTCTAAATACAACAACTAAAAGGCGCTGAAAACTGTCAACATAGTGTCCTCTTTTAAAATCTTTATGTAATATAGATGTCTGTGAAGGTTCTCAGTCATCCAGGTCATAGTTATCCAACGAAGGTTGAGGTCAAGGGCAACTGGACTTGGTAGAAGATACTAGAAGACTCTGCCATTTCCCTACCAGTCAGTCAGAACTGAAGAAGTCTCTTAGATGAGGGACGAAACGTCTTTTAGTATCTTCTACCAAGTCCAGCTGCCCTTGACCTCAAACTTCGCTGTATATGTAGACTACCTCTGGCAAAGGTTTATTATTTATGTCTTTTTATATATCTGTATACTGTTCTGTATATCTCTTCATCTCCACTATTTGTCAAAGTTTCACTTCTCTGGTTACTTTTAATAAAGCAGACAACTACTACTACTGCTTCTTCTCCTCCTTTGTACGTATTCAGCGTAGTGACAAAACACACTCTGTAGAGCAATTTGTCCGTTTGGGCTACTGTAGAAACATGGCGGCGCAACATGGCGACGTCCATGTAAGGAGATCCACGATGTATGTAGATAGAAATGGCTCATTCTTAGCTAATATATACGTAATTATGTAAGGTCTTTATACACCAACAAAAACATAGTTATGTACATTATACAGCATTTCTGTCAATAGATCCTTCCAAATATTACACACTGGAATTTAAATAATACAAACAAAAAGTCAAAAGTAAAGACAGTGAACGATATCCAATAAAGACAAATCAAACTAATTAAGTTAAACAACAAGAAAATGTTCGTCTAAGTGACTTACAACAAAGGATACTCAATAAATCCTATTCACATGAAACATTTGATAACTGACACATTCCCTCCTCTTCATTTCTCTCAGTCTTCAGGACAATGATTTAACATTACACTTATCCAGAGAGCCTACCTGTTTTGCTATGCTCCCATGTATCTGATGAAATATGTCAGCACCTTCACGATCCCTTTACACTTGTTCAACTTTGAAAAACGATGTATTTCCTTACCATAGCAGTGAAGGATCTCTTGGCCAGGAGTAATAACTTTGGCTGCTCTGACAGTTGCTATGACTCCGTGGGCTGTGCTTGTGAGCTCAGCTACGCTCTCGCTGAGGTCTGCAAGCAGATCTGAATTTGTTCCAGTGCTCAACACCAGGCTGGTGTTGGGACAGCAGGAGTGATTCAGAAGACTAAGAGTTGGAAATATCGCCGTAGCAATGCGGATTTCCCTGCTGGACTGCACTGGCGAGTTTGCTGCTCCTGTGAGATGGAAGAAGTGGAAAGTGAAGGTCATTATGCAACTGAACAAGAACAAGAACATTCATGCAATTACTGAAAAATATATAATTCTTCTATAGTGGATTGTCCCACAGTATAAGCAAGGATAAAGTTACAGTAGAGCTAAATCAATCACCAGAAAATTTATCAACAACAATTTAGTTAAATGCCCTAAAATCACTGGTTCTAACTTCTCATATGTCAATGTTTGCAGTTTTCTTAGTCTTCTATGATAATAAACTGAATAACTTTGAATTCTGGACTCTTTGTCGGACAGAAACAATCTTAATATGTCAACTTATGCTCTGGGAACTTAAGATTTAAAAAGAAATCTTACATTTTATAGACCAAACAATGCATTGATTAATGAAGAAAGTAATTGTGAGCGTGATCGATAATGAAAATACTTGCGGACATAAATCACAGAACAATTCAATCCTTATTTAATTTCATTCTCACTAATTTTAACAACACATGGTTGATAAGTAAAAGATCACATTATAGAGCTAGAAGGAGAAAAGAAAAATACAACTTTGCAAAGTCATAACAATGCAAGTCGTCCTCTGAAAATATTTCTTTCAGGTCTTTGAAGATAAAAAAAAAAAACACTTTTAAACCTGTGGAATCCTCTTTAGTTGTGACATCCATTCCTTTTCATACTGATTTACTCAAAAAACAAACTGCTTTTATGTTTCGGACCTTGAGGCACAGTTAGGATTTTTTATTATGCCAAAACTTGAGGCAAGGTGATTACACTTGTGAAATCTGTGTGTGTGAGTTACCCGTATCTTGCAGCGTGACGATTGCCTGGGCGTTGCACCTCAACTGCAGGACGTGCCTCAGAACTGCACTTCCCAGCAGCCACAGCTCCGAGCTCCAATTCACGATACCTCCCTTCTCTTCTGGTGAGAGGCCGTTTGCCCCTGAGGGTCTGCTGAGGTCCCAAGATGCAGGTGGAGGTCCTGCCTTGCTGAGCTTTAGATAGAGTGTTGCTACGGTAACCGCACACAGGAAACGCAACTCGGGGCTGTGACGATTCAGGTGGTGCAGCAGGTGAAACACGCTCATGTAAGAGTCACCAAAGCATGAAGTATGACATGGATAGGAATCACTGGACTCTCTGTTTTGACAGCTTGACTCTGACTTTGTGTGCTTGTCTCTGATTGCATCCGTGGCCATTTGGATGTTTTTTAACCCCGCCTTTAGTGTTACCCTCAGAGCAAGCTGTGACATCACACCCATCACCGTCAGATCTGCTCCCAGTAGACACTCCCAACGGTGATGTTCTTCCCAGGCATCTCGCTGACAGGAAGTTGAACAGTATCGGCTGTAACTGCAGCCCTCACACGGCACAAGACACAGCGTCTCAGTCAAACACCTGTGACAGCGCCTGTGCTCCATCCCAAACAACTCTCCTCTCTCTTTGTTCTGCCTTCCTTCCTTCCCCTTCACCTCCTCCATCCCTGGTATAAGGACACAGCTGTATGGCCTGTCATTGAGGATCACCTCCCCAGCTGCTATTCTCTCTGCAGCCACCAGGTGTCGACCTTTCTCCAGGCTGAAGACAACTGCAGCTTGAGGACAAATCCCAAATTTGAGAAGTCCAAAAGATGCCTTTTTTACTCTGTCTGGACCTTTATGACTTTCTAAGGCAGGATTATGATGAACCTCTTTTACCTTTTGATCTACAGACAGGTGCTTGAGGCTCTGTGTGCGGCGGTCCTCCAGTTTGTGTAAAAGATGAGAGGGATAGCCGTTAATTAAAGCTTTGTCAATGTCATCAAGGGATTCCTGAGGGGTGAAAAAAAGAAAGTTAAATAATAAAACTGCTTTGGCATATTTCCTTATTTATGTGCTCTCACCGACAATAATTGGTCGTCCCACCCCCAACCTGTCAGACCTCAACAGTAAAGCCACCAAACACAAAGCACAGACTATTGCACACGACCCCAGTCAGTCACCCCCTCAACCCCTTCTTCACACTGCTTCCAGATACAGGATACAGGTCTCTGGACTGGAAACAGGTCTTTTACAGCAGAAGCTTTGATTACTGCCATCGCATCCTTAAGCTTCCCTGCGGTGACTGTTATGTGTCCTGTGTATGCTGTATGCTTACTGTATGTATATGTATTTTGCTTGTGAGGCTATGTACAGACTGTACAGACAAAATTCCCCAAAAGATGCAGTCAGGTGCTGTTCAAACTGATCACACAATGAAAACACCATCTGTTAAACTTCCACAGGCTCATCTTCAGTCCACTCCAATAAAAGCACAACTGGTTCTAACAGGTTTTGATGATGCCATAAGTACGACACTACCTCATTCTTTAAACACTGAAGATGGCACCATCTCACCTGATAGTGCTGCAGATGGTAGAGCGCAGCAGAGCGGTTGGCATAGCACAACGACAGCTGCTCCGAACGTTGGGGAGCAAAACATATGCCCTGTCATGACAAGAGACAAAGAAGCTGGATGGTGATGCATATTAATTAGGACTGGCTGGCATGCCATGTTTAAGGAATGCTGTTTTATAATCCCAAATGCATTTCTACATTACTGTTCTCAAAATATCAAACAATATATATTTACAGTACTAGTATTATTTCCAGCAGGTTTTTACAACTTTATCAGATGACTAACGTTTACTATTGTAGTGCATCAGAACTACATTAAATGTATTGGACAGCCTTCTTCTACTGATCCCATAACTAAAAAAAATCAACAGTAAAAAAACCCACCAATGTAATAAGATTTTTAAAAGTCAGATACAAATCATACATAATCAAAAGCTTGCTAGCATTTTAAAAGGAAAGGTGGACTTTAACACAATCCAGTGTTTGATTGTAATGTGTTGAAGTTTATATTTTCTGGATCATATGGAACAGTTAGAATATTATTGTGACTTCACCTGTGAGTAGTGCAGAGCGGCAGCTGTGTAGTCTCTGGTCTTGAAACTAGAGTTGCCCCTCTCCCTGCATTTGGCTGCTTGCTCTGTGTGCTTCTGTACAGAGTGTCCTGCAGAGATTGACTGCAGGAAGTCCAGATCATCTTGGCTATAAAAGAGAAATGGATACCATTATAGAAAAACCCTCTCTATGATCAACAACTAAATTAGTGCCTCTGTGTTCAAAATGTTCCCCAGCAGCAGAGAAGTTGGGTTTATTATTTACAGACCAGTTCCATGGAAACTCCTGTTCACTTTAGCCAAGTGAATATAACTTGTAGTTCCATCAAAAACAACGCTATGTCCCCAAATGTTTGATTAAAACAGTCCATTTGTAATGATTGATGGCCCAAAGAACTTTATTTAGAATTTATTTGGAAACCCATGAGCACTAAACTACAGAAGTAAGCTAAGTTAGCTAGCTTTACTCACGTTGTCAGAGTTAGGCTACATTTGAAAACATCATCTATTTCAAGCAGGGATGTAAAATGTTCCTTTAGCTCAGGGTCGAGTCCGGTCCATTTCTCTGCAACATGTTCTTGCCACTGAGGACACGGAAGATCCATCATGAACTATAAGTGAACCACATAAGCACCGAAGGGCAGTTTTTGTTTTTTTTTGAGTCCGTGCGCCAGCTAGCAGCGGTCAGAGAACCACAGTCAAGTTAGCGTGGGTCAACAAGGAGTTTCCGACTACAACCTTCAAAATAAAACCCATACCCTAAAACCCTGTTGCTCTCGAAGGAAAATCAAGTAGGTTTTAGCCTCTTAAATCCCTTACAATGCTTTTCATGAGGCTTCTTTTGCTGTGAATGAATTACTCACAAATCCAGACGTTTATGTCAGTTCACTTTACCTTACGTTTTCAACCTGAGCTGAGCTACTTTACATTACATTTTAAATTACAAATGTGGTGTCTTTACATTTCTAACTGCAAGGTTTAGAGTGACGTGAGTTCAATTATCTATCATTTAAAAAAAATACTTCTACAAGTGCTGTGCTACAAAATCAAATTTACTCCTTTATGTTGAAGGCAGACATTATGCATATCCGGTTAAATATGTTTTGACAGTTGTTTTGCAGTTTCAGAAGTATCGCCTGTCTCGTTTCTCTCGCGATAAGATCCTTACCTTTAACAGCTGCGCAGGAGAAAACACAGTCTGTTGGTTTTGACTAACCACTTTACCTAAGAGACATGAGTGTAAAACTCACACAGGGCGCAATTCGCGTAAGCAAATATATAATATAACGTTATGAGTGTTGTTTTTTTGTCTGGAGTCGATGTCTTGATGCTGGATAGCAATGTAGCTAGTTGCAGCTGCTAGCACCGTGAGCTAACGAGATTTAGGGGTGCAGCTGTATCAACATTAACGCTAGTACCATTACAGGAACATTGTTGTTTTAAATAAAAGTCTGATTGTTAGTTTCTGTTTTTATGAGGTAAAAGAAATGCAGGCTTGTTTAATTTATTTAAATGTTAACGCATAGCAATGCATTAGTGATGTGGTTAGACTTCCCAAATACTTGGGGTCCAGCAGGTAACGTTAGTTGATGGGAAACAACAGGACGGTGTGATCAAGTCCAGTCCACTAATGCTTAACATGCTAGAGGCGGTACAAAAATGTTTGTCACTTCATTAATCTCCAATTAATATTACTGTAACTGTAACTTTGCATTAGCACCATGTTAATGTGATGGGACAGGATGGGGACAGGCACTAGATACTAACAAATCCATGTGTGTTATTGTCTAGGCCCTGCTCACCGGCTCAGAGTTGAAAGATCCCGTGCTGCAGATGCTGGTAAGTGCATTTAAGGAATCCACTTGACCAACCAATCCAGCTATGTTGTATTTCAGACTACACCATAGAAGTGTGAAATATAGATAGACCAGAGTCTACTTTTAAAAGATCCAGGCATGTTTTAAGACATGCGTTTAGAATAATATGTTCTGTCTTAAATGGGTTTTCCCACATTGTTGCCCCTCATTCAAACATCAGTAATCTCTGAATATGGAAATATGTGGGACAAAAGATGTCTCCAGTTTTTAACACCTAACCCTACTCAGGGCATCCAGTGGCCTAGTTGTTAAAACCCATACCATGTACTCTAACCATTGCTGTCAATGCAATTTCCTGTCTTTATCTGTGCTGTCACTATCGAGTATGTAAAAGGCAAAATTACAAAACATAATGACAATTTAACATTAATATTACAATTTGAATAATTGTGTCCTCGCATGGTGAAAGATGATTATATGAAGATTATTATTGTTAAAATGACTTTGTTATTGTCCTCTTACACAGGGCAGTTGGAACTGTCAACTGTCCAGTATCATGATGAGCCTGATACTTTAAACCTTTGTTGTTTTGCTATAAAATCCTTCCTTCCCTCTGTGTTTGTTAGAAGATCTGTAAGGTCGCTGCAGGTTCCAGGTTCAGGCTCATGATGAGCGATGGTCAGCACTCATTGTCTAGTGAGTATCTCGCAGTAGCCAGAACACTGTCAGACTGTGGTTTTGGTTTGCCAAATGTACACATGGTCTGTTTTGTTTTGGCAGCAGGTTGACAGACAAATATGTTATGTCCAACAATGTTAATATCATAAAAATGTCCAAAAGCAGTGCTAAGGAAAATTTGTAACTCAGAAGATAATCAAGTAAACGTGGTAGATACGTCTGTTGAAATATTTTTTTCTAAGATGTACATGAATATATTTGGATATGTATGTGTTTGTAGCATTCCTGCTGGCCACACAGTTACACGATCTGCTAGAAGAGAACCTCCTGGTTCCCAACTGCGTGTGTAAGTTGAAGAAGTTCGTCACCAGCACACTGGCAGATGCCAGGTATGTGTTTACCTCTTTCCTCTCCCTTCTTTCGCGTTTGCTGCATGTAATCCCCTTTAGCCTTATTTTTTACCTTCCTCCAGGACTGTGGTGACTGTGATGGACATGGAGATATTGCAGTCGGCCGAGGAAACTGGAGGCACGATTGGGAATCCGGCTCCATATAATAGAGAGGGTATGGTTCTTCTTAAAAGGCGCATGCATTAAACTAGAAGCAGTAATAAACAGCCTCAGGAGGTTTGTTATGATGTTTGTTCAACTTGCAGGTAAGACGTCCTCACCACAGAGCTCACCCTCAAGTACCTCTGTTCCAGCATCCCCTCCATCTGCTTCAGTACCTGGACCCTCCTATAAGAACAACAGCAGTGAGTGTCCTGTCAATCATTTTTATAAATCTTTCTCTTGTCCTCTCAGTTATTACACATATATGCTGTGACAATTAATAGTGCTATGATAATAATAAACCTGCTGTTTTATTTCTGATACTTTCTTTTGTCAGTTTTTGTCAGCTGGGACAAATTTCATTTTCCTGACCGTTGTTTATCAGTCACTGCTTGGCACAAGTATCTTCTCATGCTAGCGGCTTCTCATTCTCAGCAGCAAGCATAACATATAACAAATCTTGACTAATGTTGAGCAGTATCACAGTTTAAATAGGCTATGTATATTCTACCTGAGATTTTCCAACTAGAGCAAAAGGAACAGCAAGTTCCACTTGATTACAACGTTTTCTACAGCCAACAAATTAGATGACTTTATCTTTGATTTATTGATTACGGCACTGACATTTTTGATATAGCAAAAATATGCAACAGCTAAACCTTTGATTTTAATTTACAAGTGAGCAGCATGGGGCTGATTAAGTACATGCTACCAGTCGTCATTTAGTTTAAAAAAATTTTTTGTGCCTTCCGAATCAGTGTTTATGGTAGTACCAAAAATATATATGGATGCTCTCCAGAGCCACTGCCTGCAAGGCATTCGATGTCTGAGTAAATCATTTTTAAACACAACAAAACTATTTACCCTCAGGCTTTCAGTTCATGGATATTACATGTCATATAGATTAATACTTCTTATTTGGAGTGCAGATTCCAGCAATTAAATACCTCACCAATATAAACAACTTTTAATTTCTTCATTTAGCAAAGTCAGACATAATGAGCATTAGGGCTTAGGGCCCAACCTGAAAACAGTTTTGTCGATTATAAGTCGCAGAATTTATTCTTTAACTCCTGAAAATTTGTTCTCAAAGAGGACCAAATCATATTTACGAATAGTAACAAGACATCAGGGAAGCGATTAGGGATCGCTTTTAAGTAATAACTAATTCATCAACGGTTTGGGCTCTGTGAAATGTTAGCTTCTAAGTTAGATAATGACTTATTGTGTTGTTATTTTTAACAAACCTCTGCTCCTCAGAGTTCATTTGTTAGTCTCTGATTTTAACATTTAAGTGTTTTGTTGATTTGTTTACACCAGTCATTGCCATTGTGGTAAGAACCGAATGGCAGTTTCAGCAGAAAAGGATATTTTAGGAGTTGGCTAGATTGTGGTTATTTTAGAGAAAAGGGGAATAATTTGACAAACCCTCATTTTACCAACAGAGGGAGCCATGCACCCTTAAGAGACTGGTGCTGCTGAATGATTTGCAGTCCTCTCACTTTTGTTTCTCCTCAATACTGTGGGAGCCATGATTTGGGACCAACAGAGTCTTTGTTGTTCAGTTTTCACTCTCATTTACCATACTACACTTTAACCAGCACTATGGATTAAAAAGTAAATATTGGTTTTCTTTCCTTTTGATATTCATAGCATTTCAGTGTTCAAAGGCAGTAGTCTGAGCGTGGGTTAAGAACTAGAAGAAATGGGATCATAAGGCACAGCGTGATTTTCCAGCCAGTTGAAGGTAGCCACAGAAAGTGCCAAATTATTGGAAGGCAGTTCCTTCAGTTTAAGTGCCCTATTTTCATATCACATTGTGCACTTCACGATCATATTTTACTGCTCAGCTGTCAGAGCGGGAAACTATCTTGTTGCCCACTGGCCACTGCAGCGTGGAGAGTCCATAACTCTCACCTTTCACTCTTTTACCACCAACCACATATTTATAACAAAATAGGACCTCCAAATTATGGTTGGCTTTCTGCCAAAAAGTCTGCTGCCATGTATCATGCCTAAAATAGCCTGTGTTTTATTGGCTCTACTTTTATTAGCTTAGCCTTTGTTTCACTCTGTTGTTTTATACCTCAGATTGCTCTCAGCATTGACCTTGATTTTGTTATGTGGCAGAAACATACCAGTAGTCCTCCTCTGTTGAGGATGTAGGCGTGTGGGTGGATAATGAATGCTTGGTATATATTGTGTTTGTGTATGTGCAGGGGGGTGTGTTGTGACTGAGGGAGCTTGTGTGGGCCGATGGCTCCTCCAGTTCATGGCTTCATGAATATTGTGTTGTGGACTGAATTCCCTTGTAGCGATGCACAGATGGAGGGAGGGAGAGAAAGTCAACTAATTTGACTCAGCAAAGATGAGGCTCTGCATTAAATAGTTCACCAGGCTCTCTTTGTATCCTTTGAATCATGTTACCTCAGAGATTTCCCGCCAGATACAGAAAACCTGCTGCTCTGTTTAATTGTTCTGTCGATGAAATGGTCGTGCATTCCTCTTTAACGCCAAAAAAATAAGCCTTCTAAAAGTCTCAAAGTATTTTCTCCTGCTGAATGTGGCCAAGTGTTTGATTACTTTTTCAATATGTTGTAAATTGCATTTTCAGTAAGTCAATAAATTTGTTTGCATTCACAAGATTGCTAAATG